GTCCATAGCTTGCCATGATCCAAACAATCGAAGGCCTTTGCATAGTCAATAAAGCACAGGTAAACATCTTTCTGGTATTTTCTGCTTTCAGCCAAGATCCATCTGACATCAGAAGTTAATTTTAAGTTTAAACTCTTTCCATAAAGAAAGATGCTTTATTCCTTTCAATACCAAATTTTCAAGGAGTAAATCATTCCAATCTTCCAGGGTAATTAAAGGGGAACAGTCTCTAATTCATGTGATGTTGTTGTTGTTACTATGTGCCATCTAGTCGGAACAAGACTATCATAATATTGGTACCAAAAATCAGACAAGAATAGTGCACAAGAAAGAAAAATTGCAGGCTAATCCTAACTCAGAAACACTGCTTTCAACTCTTGAACAATTAACGTATACTGAGTCCCATAATCTATTGTTGTTGTTGTTGAGTGTGGTCAAGTTGGTTTCAACTATTAGCAACCTTGTATAGGATTTCCTAAGAGCAGCTGGTGAGTTTTGAACTGCTGACCTTGTGGTCCAGTGCTTATCTTACAGTACCACTCCATGACTTGAATATATATGGTAAATACAACATGACTACATTGGATTCACTCCAGGAATGTAAGGTTGTTTTAACATCTAAAAGTCTAAAAATAGCACTGACATCACCCACAGATTAAATTTAAAAAAATATGATCACAACAAATGCAATGAAAGCATTTGGTGAGTTTGTTGTTGTTGTTGTTAAGTGCCGTCAAGTCGGTTCCGACTCAGAGACCCTGCAGAGGATTTCCAATGAGCAGCTGGTGGTTTTGAACCGCCAACCGTATGGTTAGCAGTTCAGTGCTTATCCTACAGTGCCATACCATTTAATGCCCTTTAAAACTTCTTAGCAAATGAAAACCTGAAGGCAATTTTCTAAATCTAATAAAATGTTTCTACCCAAAATGAGCAAATTAAATTCTCAGTGTTTAAATGTTAGAAGCACTTAAAAGTAGGAAAACAAAGCAAGAATCCCTATTATAACCACTTTTATTGAACACCATACTGAAGGTCTCCACCAGGGTAATGAGAAAGCCAAGGAAAAGAAGCTAAGAGATGGGAAGGAAGAAACAGACTGTCAGTATTTACAGATCTTTTAGTTGTACTCAGAAAATCTGATAGATTCTACAAATTAGAATTAATAAGACAGTTTATCAAGAAGATAAATATAAAAATCTATAAGCATACAAAAATCAACTACATTTCTATATCCCAGCAACAGTTAAAAAATGAAAAATTTTAAAGTATATCACTTATAATAGCAATAAAAACTATAAGGAACCTATGAATATATCTAACAAAAGGTGCGTATGATTTTATGGAAAAAATTATTGAAAGACACTAAAGACTTAAATAAATGGGGTTATGTATTCATGGATACAAAGCCAATTTCATAAATGTCAGTTCTTCCTAAATTGATGTATGGATTTAATACAATTCCAATAAAAATTCTAACCAAGTTTTTCAAGGAACTTCAGGCTTATTCTCAAATTTATAAGAGAATAGGAACAAAAATAGCCACCATCTCCTTGACAAAGAACAAATTTGGGAGGGTCTGATGTTTCAGATATCAAGACATAGCTAGCCACGCTAATTAGACAGCATGATATTGGTACAAGAATCACCGGACTCACCAACAAAAGAGAACAGAGAGTCTGGAAACAACCCTGCAGATATGAAAACATGAAATATGATAGGGGTAGTACTGTAATCAGATGCTGGTGCACTTGGGGAAAATAAAATAAAATATCTAACTGACAACACACACAAAAATCAACTCCTGATGGATTAAAAACAGAATGTAAAATACAAAGGATTAAAAGTTTCAGAAGACTCGCCCAGGAGACATCAAGGCAAGTGGTCAGGTCCCCCTCAGAGCAAACCCCCTTCCAAGACTAAGACTCAATGGGAATACACGCTCTGATTGGTGAGCACGTTCGTCATTGATAAGGGGAAGTGAGGGAAAAACAGCAACGAAGCTGCGAGCTGAGCCCAACAATGCTCAATAGACGCCTGTGAACCCGGATGGAGACCTGGTTGACCAGCAGTGTGGCAAGTCCAGGGGACTCTTGGACCCAGAGACAGTGACATAGCCACAGAGGACCAGAGTGGAGAGTGAAGCATCCAGCTGATAAGAAGAGAGGACACATGCATAAGTACACCCACACTTGCAGATAATACCCACTTGACCTGGCTTCAACAACTGGATGATCACAGCTCAACCAGAAAAAGAAAGAAGAGGAAAAGAATAAGCTGATACAATTTGATGGACTTGACATACACCTATGGAAGCAGTAGCTCAAAAGAGGGAACAAATATTCACAGCGAAGATCATTCCCACTCCCTCCGCTCATGGAGAGGACAGGGATGGAAACTTGGACATTGGCTACCCAGAATGAGGGGGTTACAGAGGCAAGAAGTGACTGTCCTGCAAGCTTTCATGAGGGAACCTAGATCCAGAGGGTGTGGAGCAAGGTAGAATCTCCACTGAGTAGTATCCATTCTGTCTAGTCGGGGCTGATGAAAGGAGATGCAGATAGGTCTCTTGAGATACAATAGCAAATAATGGTTATCAGGACTGATTGTAAGGGCTGGAAATGTAAAGGTAGACGTTTTATGGCAAAGGGAGGAGAGTGATTAACTTTGCAGTCTAGGAGCGGAGGTCCCTGGGACCATCAAGGGTGAAGAGTGGAGAACGGAATCCTACCCAGAGAAGCAGTGATGCCAGGGATGGAGGCAGAGACAATGATGTGGGGAGATGGAGTGTCTGGGGACTTTGGACCCAGAGTGGAAGAGGGGATGTGTGCGGACAACCGGAGGGCAAGCTTGCAGGATATACCCTTTGGTTGGTGGATGATGCATGGAGGGGATTGTAACCATGGCAAGGAAATGATATACGACGGGATCAATGTGAAGCTAATGTCTTCCCATATAAACTATCACATAATTCTCAATAAAGCAGTAAAAAAAAAAAAAGTTTCAGAAGAAAAGTAAAACCTACTCGATGACCTTGGATAAGGAAGAAATTCTTTAAGAAAACACACAAAATGTAAATTACAAAGGAAGAGAGGGATGCATTTGACTACATTAAAATAAAAACCTTCCATTCATCCAAACACACTATAAATAATCTGAATGGATGAGTCACAAATTGGGAGAAGATATTTGCAATTCACAAGCAACAAATGATTATTACCCTAAATATATAAAGAACGCCTGAAAATCACTAAGATGCAACAGAAAACCCAATCGAAAATGAGATAAGAGACATGAACAGACATTTTATGGAAAAAGAAACCTGAATAGCCAATAATTACTTGCAAATATGTTCAACCTCATTAGTAATCAGAGAAATGCAAATTAAGACTATAGAAAATCACCATTTTATACGAACTTGTTCAGCAAAAGTTAAGAAGCCTGGCAAATTTTTATCTTGATGTAGAGTAATAGAAACTCTTATAGACTGCTGCTGGTAGTATAAACAGGCATCGCCACTTTGGAAAATCACTTGGCACTGTCTTGTCAAATTGAACGTGCACACACTACATAATCCAGCAGTTCTACTTAAAGAATCTCCCATCCAGGTGCATCTGAAGACTCAGACAAAGGTACACAGAAACCTCATTTGGAATAAAAAGACAACTTGAAACAAATATGTCCACGGAAGGCAGAATGGATAAATAAACTGAGATACATTCATACAATGGGACACTATACATTACAGAAAATAAATGGGAAAACATCCACAAGGGCAAATATTAAAAACAAGATGAAACATGCTGAAAAATACAGTATAGTATTTTTTTTTTTTTTTTGCTCAACAATGAGCAAAACTATGTAATGCATTGTTTGGGGCAACATGTACACCTCAAAACTCAAGAAAATGATAAACATAAATTTCAGAGGAGTGTTTACATCTAAGAAGGAAGTACAGGGCATAATTAGAGAGGGCACCCAGACAATGTTCTAACTCATCAGTGGGGTTCACTGATGGTTTGTGTGCCGTTATGCTTCACAATGTCCATAAACATCACATACTTCCTTCTGTATGAATTCCTACTAAATAAATTCGATGGAGCAATTTATCACAAGCTCCTAGCACATAATAACCATGCCAGCGAAGAGTCACTACCCTCTTCTTATGTGCCAGGCACAGCACCCAATGACTGATGCACATTATTTCATTTAGTCTTCACAGCAGCCCTATGAGCAGAGATGATCTTGATCCCATTTTACATATTGCAGAAACAGAAGCTAAATAGCTTGCTTAAGAAGAGCCCTGAGCTGCCAGCCCAGGTCTGTAGGACTCTTGTTGGCCACTGGATCTCAGCAAGGACTCAATAAATGGACGAGACCTCTGAACCCTTCTGCAGACACAGCAGACTCCCTCCTGAAGGTCATCCCTCAGCTGAGCACTTGGCACAATTATCACGTTCCACTCTTATTTGGGGAGTCCTGGTGTGGTGCTGTAGGATAAGCAGTCGACCACAAGGTCTGTTTGAACTGCAAGGTCAGTGATTCAAACTCACCAGCCACACCTGGGAAACCCTATACAGGGTCACTATGAGTTGGAGCTGACCCAACGGCACTTAACAACAACACAACTATTTGTGCAAAGTTCCTTGCAGGCCCCTCCAATACAAAGACACTGCCTGTGTCTTCTCAGTGTTTCTGGTGCCAGTGCTGGTACCCAGCGGGAGCTCACTAAAGGTTTACACTTTGGGTTAAGGAGGATCCCTAGTGGTGTGTTGAGTTAAGCACTGGGCTGCTAACCACAAGGTTGGTAGTTCAAATCCACTAGCCTCTCCGTGAACCTGTGGAGCAGTTCTACTCTGTCACTGTGAGTTGGAATCGACCCCACAGCAGTGGCTGGTAGGGGTGGGAGGGTTGGGTAGGGGTTTTACAGAACTCATCTGAAGGGGGAGGAGCCCAGATGGGGCTGGTCTGTGGGTTCAGGAGGAAGGGGCAGGGGCACTCACCCCGGGGACTGTAGCCATGGGCATCCATGAAGGAGAGGCCCAGCCGCTCATCCTCCTGCAGGGTGCTCTGGTCTGTGAAGCTCCGGTCCACGGCACTCATCATGTGGGTCTTCTCCTGGCGGTAGTTGACCGTGGCCTTGGTCATGTTCACTGGCTTCCTGCAGAGGGGACGATGGGAGATGCAGGAGCTGAACTGAGCTGGACAGTGTCCAGGGGTGAGTGGGGAGTCTGTCAGTTGGGGGCCTGACCCAACAGCAGGAAGCCATCCTGGGAACAAAGTCATCCCAGGTAACTTTGCTTCCATCCTGCTCAGCAGACCCAGAGAGATGTGCCCCCACCCCCAGGCCAGGCAGAAACCCTACCCCAGAGACCTTTATTGAGAGGATGGAGGTGGAGGGTAGGGGCAGTAGTGGCCGCAGATTCCCCCTTCTCATCTCCAGGCCCAGCTTTATAGACTAGAATGGCAGTTTGTGACTCTGAAAGAACTTGGAGGAAGGCGGGATATTAAAAAAGGAAGTAGGGATGCAGGAGACTCAGCTCCAGTGATCAAGGGACAAAGCAGAGGAACACGTCTTGGGACCAACAATTAGGTCAGAGAAGAGTCTGAGGGGCCCAATCCCAAGGCTGGAAACCCAGCCCCACCAACGACAGGATGTGCGGTACCTGAAAAAGGACTTTCAGTTTATGAGGACTCAGTACACTGACTATTAGTGGATACGAGGAGGCCCATGAAGACAACTCCAGATTCCAGAGGTGCCTGGGGTAGGAGATGGGCACAATGGCCTGTGGATGCCTTCCGGTGCTAAGAAATGGCGCTGTGTCCACACTGGGGAGCCCTGATGTTGTGCGCTGAGTGCTGGACGACTCAGCAGGCTCAGACCTCCTCCACCCACCGCCAGGCTCTGAGCAGCCCCTCACTGCAGCCCAGGACAGAGCCTAAGGCCTCTTTGAGACAGGTGAGGTGACAACCAGTAGGAAACAAAGAAGATAGAAAGGGAAAGACAGAAGAAAAACAGGGGCAAAAAGGAGGAAGAGAAGAGAAAAGAGAAGTAGGAAGATACAGAGAGAGAGGAAAGTATGGAATAAAAATTAAAAGTAAAGGTCTACTGATAAGGAAAGAGACAAGAGAGATGAAGAAGGGGGCAGACAGAGAGGAACGGACAGACGAGTATCCAATAACTACAAGAAGGACAGACAGAGGGCCATGGACAGATGACAGCAGTCAAGCTGAACAACGGTGCCCAAAGTCGACACATCAACAACTGGATACTAGCCTAGAAGGCCGTCTCCAGTGGAGGACCACAAAGCTCCACACCCAACCAGGCCTCTGGGTCTACTTGGAAAAGGAAGAAAAACAAACCAATCAGACCCATGGAAAACAGATGCTGGGAGGGACACCTAACATGCTGTTGGCTTCCAGCTGATCTCCAAGTGAGATTAAGCAGATGGAATGTAATACGGATACTTTCAAAAGTTCTGAATTTAGATTCAAACTGAACTGCACACGGAGGGAAGGAGGGAGAGCTGCCTTGTCAGCAATTCCTGCAGAAGCCGAGCTGGAGGCTCAGTGTGAGTCCACAGGGTCTGGTTGCTGGAAAAGCAATGCTCACATAACACTGGGAGATTCGGTGTGAGCAGAGGGTCCTGAGAGGAGGAGGAGAGAGACCCGCCGTCCTCTGGATTGGCCAGGGGCCACTGGGCTGCTCTTTAAGGGGAGGGAGAACAGGTAGAAGTTGGGGGAATGTTCTAGAAGGCTGGCATAGTTAGGAAATAGAGACAGAACAGCAGAGAAGCATGGGTAGGTCATGGAGTCAGACAGAAGGTTGTAGTTTCAGCTCTGCCACTTTCTGTGACCTCTGACAAGTTTTCAAGCCTTTCTAAGCCTCAGTGTCTTCACCAGTAAAATGAGAGCGAGAGCAATTCTTCGTCCACAGGCTGTTGTAAGGACTCTGTGTGAAGAGCTTAGCAGAGCTTGGACCAGAGGAAGCGCCCAGGAGATGGTGGTGTGAAGAGACTGGAGCTGCCCTGGCTGAGGAAGGGGCTATGTGACAGAGAGATGTCTGCTCTGTCAGAAGAGCTGATGGTGTTGGGGACAGATCTGGACCACATGCGCACACACACACACACACACACAGAGATTCGCACACACACACGCAGGCTGTATAATCCAGGTGAGACCTGTGTGCAGCAGTTCCTGGATGTGGACAGTTCATTCACACAGGGCTGCCCTGGTAGTGGAGAGGCCACTGTGACTTGCCAAGGTGACCGTGTGTCTGACTGAAAAACCACACTGGGACCACCATGCGGAGGAGAGAGCTGAAATGGCCATGGAGAGCCGGGGCTGACACCAGGCCAGGCAGGGGGCCTCATGCTAGGTGAGCCCAGGACTGTGAGGCCCTCAGAGGTGGAGCTACTTACGGGTAGTAGGAGTAGGCATAGTGGTCTCTCCTGGCAGCATGCAAAGAGAGAACAACACAACTGTGTCCACGGTCCTTCCAGCAGCCCCGCCCACCAGCAGGGGACTGTCCAGGCAGAAGGACAGTCCTGTTCCAAGGGCTGGCCGGGCTCAGACACTGAGGGCCAGGACCCAAGGCCCCTTCTGAAACCTCCTCCTGCTGGTGTGAGGGTGGGGAAGGGGCCTAGCGGGGAGCAGAGCTTGCACACACTCACACACACACAGGTACACACTCATCCATAGTACTCTCCTCTCACAGTTACACATAGATAAACTCTGACACGGCATCTCCATGTAAGTCATACACAAATGCAGACTCACAGATGTGAGTAGATACAGCTATACACACATGGACTGAAACACACACAGTAATCCCCACACACTGACACATATACAAAGAACTACATTCACACACTCCCCACAATCAAAGTGGCTGTGCTCACCCTGAGCTGCCCTCACCCCTGCAGGCAGCGCCCTCCCACATGGTCTCTGAAGCTGCTCACACCTGCAGGTGCCCCTGCCCCTGAGGCGCCAGCCCTTCTCTTAGGCCTGTGCCTGGGAGGGAAGAGTGGCTGGGACAGGGAGAGGGCAGGGTGTAGAATGCTCCAGCTGGATTCCCAGGACAAATTTAAGGGCCATCATCATCCACCCAGACTGCGTCCAAAAAACGGGACTCATTAAAGGTGCCAGGTCACCCCTCATGGACGAAGACAAGGCACAAGTTGGTGCAAGAGCCCTAATGATACCACAGAGTGGGGTAAGTGGAGAGGGTCTGATTCCCACGTCACAGGTGAGGAAACTAAATCCCAGAGAGTCATGGTCAGCCCTGGGATACCCTGTGAGTTGTGACAAAATTCCAGAGCAGGTCCTAGACCTTTGGCATGCTGGACCAGACCCCAGCCCCAGAACCACCTCTGAGTTCCCATCAGGCTCATTCCAGAGGTCCTCCACTCACTCACATATATCACCCCAATAAAGGGGACCCCACTCATAACCTTCCAACAGGAAATCTTGCAGATGTAGGAAGGAGAGCAGAGAATAGAAGAATGAAGCTCAAAGAGGTCAGGAAATTGGCTCAAGGTCACACAGTGAATCTCAGCCATCCCAGTGAGAGAGAGGAGGGTCAGATCCTTGTGGCTGATCAGAGTTCCAGGAGGGACAACAACAAAGGTGTTTGGAGGAATGGCATTCTTCTTATCTAAACCAAAATATCACTGCCCTCTTTGTCCCCCAACTAAATTGTTTCCTGTTACTCTCTCTCCCACCCACCCCAGCACCCTGTTCTTTCTGTTCTACTACCAAGCAGAACTTATCATATATCCATTGGTGTTTTGTCTTGTTAATACAGGGTGGTGGTTGCGTACCCTTAAATCTGTTCTGACTCATAGACACCCCTGTACAGGGTTTCCGAGGCTGTAAATCTTTATGGGAGCAGAAAGCCTCATCTTTCTCCTGCTGAGCAACTGGTGGATTCGAATTGCTGACCTTGCAGTTAGCAGCCCAACACATAAGCCACTATACCACCAGATCCATACCCCTATTAACTACAAAGTACAAGAGACTTCATCTTTCTCGGTTTTGCCCACCACTAGATCCCTAGGATCTAACCCAGTGCCTGGCACACTATAATCCAATAAATGTTTTGTTGATCAAGTAGTCAGAAAAATGAGTGAAAATAAATTAAAGGCATCACCTCTGTGAGCTTCCATTACCTATTCTTTAAAAGTGAGGTTATTAATAATCCTCAAATGGGTCTGTTGTGCCCCTCCCTCCTCCCTCCCCTGAAGGCTGAGCTCAGCGAGGGACAGTACTGCAGGAGGATCCAGCTCCACTGACCAGGCCGCTTTCTCCCCTCAAGAAGCTCTCCATTCAGCAGGGAAGAAAAACTAGCAAACAAAGCACTAGCAGCCAGACTCTGAAAAAGTGCAGAGTGAAGAAAGTGCAAAGGAGATGGACAGAGAACATGGGAGCAGTTCCCAGAGGCAGCCAGGCTTCCCTTCCATACCATGGAACTCCCCTGACCAGACATTTCCAAGAAAAAAGCCCCACACAAGGTCAGGTCCACCAAGAGGGCATAGCAGGACAGAGAATCTGAAATTTCCCAACTGTTCCACCCACCAACTGCTTCCCATCACCCATCCCCCTTGGGACTCCTCCCTCCAACAAGTGTTTGGCACAGGGGCAACTGTTCTCACTCGGCACACACCTCATCTGTTTGTTACATTCGCACCCCAAGTGGTTCTCAACACCCCAACCTTTCAGAGAAGCTGCTGCCCATGAACACCCCACAGTTTAGACTCGGGGAGGCCTGAAGAGCACAGAGTATGCTAGTGGAAGAGCAAGAGAAGAATCCAGTGGGACTGAATGGCTTTAAGAGGAAGTACGGAGGCCCATGTGGTACTGTGGGTTAGTGCAGAGTCAAGTTGAACCACAAGGTTGGCGGTTCAAGTTCACCAGCCACGTCTTGGAAACCTTACACAGGGTGGCTATGGGTCAGAATCAACTCGACGGCACTTAACAACAACAACAAAGAGGTCCTGGAGAGGGGGTCCTAAAGGCTGGTTCACAGGCTTCTGGGAGAACCTGGAAGGGTTTATGGGTATAGCAGCTGCATAAAGTAGTGGCTCCTAGTGAGGCTTGAGCAATGTCTCTGACCCAACTGGGGCCAATAATTCTCTTTACAAAAGTAGGTGATATCTCCACTTTACCAATCCTCCATCCTTGAGGGTTGAGGAAAGTCTTAATGTAGTGCTGTAGGATGCGCACAGGACTACTGAACACAAGGTTGGTAGTTTAAACCTACCATCCACTCCTGGGAAACCCTAAACAGGGTTGCTATGAGTCAGAATCAATTTGAAGGCACTTAACACTAACATTCTTGAGGGTAGCTTTCTAGAACCTCAAATACTACCTACAGCCTCCCAAAATCTGACCTCTCTCTTACAGCCCTCTCAATTCCCCCAACCTATTCACAAACACCTCCCAGGACCCCTGTAAGGCAGACTCCCTGCCACTCATAGGGCCCCTCATCCCTGTGGCCCTGAGGAGCTCAGGTTTTGTAGTGGAGCCTGGCTCAACTCAGGATCCACCACTGACCAGCCCAGTGACATGGGCAAGTCACTGACCTCTAGTTTCCTCCTGGTTACAAAGGGAGTGAGAGTCACTTCCCGGGTGAGGATCTAACAAGGCAATATTCCTCCTTGCCTGCTTTGCTCTCAGGACAGTGCCAGGCATGTGGCAGGCGCTCAGTAACTAATGTTCTAACGGTGATGTGTGTTAAGCTCTTGGCAAATAGTAACTTATTAAATGATAGTTAAAAGTATTTGGTCTCATGAAGCTGTGCAACCATTAGACAGGGAAAAATCTGAGCCTCCTACCCTGGATAGGCCAGCCGCCCATCCCACCAAGCTGGCACGGTGGCCCCCAGACTCCCTCTCCTGCTGATTCGTGGCGACAGGCAAGGTGTCTTGGCTAGTTCTCTCATCTTCCTGGAGACGACTTATCTGCACTCTGCAGTCCTAAGAGTCAGTGCCAAAGCACCCATGTGTGCCCAGCCTGGCAGCAGCAGGTACTACAAAAGCCAGAACCCAAGTGGGGAGGGGGCAGTGCTGGCTTTGCCTCTGGCTTCCTGGGTGACCTTGGATGGGTCCACTCCCCCTCTGGGTCTCAGTATCTCCATCTTCCACTAAGGCACTTAGACCACAGCCTAGAGGAAAGTAGGGGGCTTCAAGGGCCCCTACCCAGCTCTATTAGAGCTCAGCCTTCATCTGCCCATGTATGCACTCAGCCACCCAGAGAGAACTTTTATGTTTTGAAAACAGATTTTTGCTTTAAAAAGATCTGCAAATCACTAGATGTCCTTGAACTACCTGGCAGCTCTCACTTTCTGAGGCTCTGAGCCTCTCCAACTCTGAAATTCTGAGATTCTTAGAGTTCCAAATTCTGGATTTCGGCAGTTCCAGGTTCTGAGATGTGGATGCATGCTGGGAGTCATGCTGTCACTGGAAATGTGCCCCTCCCAAATACCAGGGTGGATGTCTCAGGCTGACAGGAGGAGAGCTGTCTCTCAATCACAAGCCCAGGAGGACATCTCAGGAGTCAGTAATAGCAGGATCCAGGGAGGGTGGGGTCCTGGAAGAGCTTGGGCCCTTGTCTGGAAGGGGAGTGAGCCTCACCTTCCAAAGCTCAGAGTCAACCCCAAACCCATAATTGAGGTAGATGGGTTGGCAGAAATGCTTCAGAGAGCTAGAGCTGGTGGTTCAAACTCAAGCCACCCCTCAGACCTCCTTACTACAACACCAAAGGAAGGAGGCGTCTGTGTCCAGCACAGCTCCTGGAAAGCATCACCTGGCACCAGTCAGACTAAGTTCCAGCCAAGCACTCTGGGCAGCTCTGTTTGCTGAGTCTCTGGCTCCCCACTGCCCGGCTCAGGTCCATCCACAGGCCTGATGCCCAGGCTGGCAACCGTCTACATACCCGTCAGACACTACCCACTCCTTTACACCCACCAGACCTCCAAGGGCAGGAGCCACAGCGGAACAGGGCAGCGACCTCACTCACCCCTTGCGGATGATGACAATGATGGCCCCCAGGAGGAGGATGAGGACTGCAAGCCCCCCTGCACAGATGCCCAAGATGAGCCCCATCTCCTCGGATCGCTGAGACACCTCCAGGGGCCGCTTGTTTTCCTTGCAGGCAGCTGGAGAGAACAGAGCAGGACAACAGGATCAGCAGGGACAGGGCCCACCTACCCTCCGCCTACAAGGGTCAGAGCCCAGGGGGCAAGCTGGGCCAAGTCATACAAGCACACAGACAGCTGGCCCTTGCTCAGACACTGCCCTGCCTTTCAGTCAGACTTATCTCCTCACCATGGGAAGTAGAAGGGGGCAGATACCCAGTCCAGAACCAACTCCTTGTAAAACCATCAACCCTATGGCCAACCACAATGACTCTTCCTCCACAATTGTGACCACCCTGAGGCCCTGTTGTCCAGGCTGGAAGGAGGTAGGGCACAGGAAGGCCATGAGGGAAGGAAATCCTCCCTGAGCCCAGGCTAGCCCTCTTCTGCTTCTACAGCCCTGGGTCCTCAGGATGGCCTCCACAGAGCCGGGCAGGCTGGAACCAGAGGGGTAGGACTGGAGGAACCCAGGGTGCTTACCTTTCCGGGCAATTCGGACGCAGTTCAGCCGGGTCTCCTGGAAACACAGATGCGAATCTCAGCACAGCTGATGCACAGACCCGACCCTTCCCAAGTCGGAACCTCGAACAGCGCTTCTTGGGCTCAATCAGGACTTTGACTAGTGCTGACAGTAAGGACACCCCACCCACCCCACAGGAGGACCCTGGAGGTACCCAGGGAAGGAGGGGCTTGAACAGGGAGGGGCCTGCAAAAGAGTGTAAGAGCCTCAGGAAAAGGGGACTTGGCAGCCGAGATCAAAGGGAAAGGATTGAGGAAGGGAAAGGGGCTTCATCAATGAGGGCACACAGCCTAGGCCCAACTGTCTGGTCAGTGGACTAGTTAGGGAGAAGTCTGAGAAAGAGAAAACCGAGTGGGGAGTCTGGAGAAGGCGGATTCAAGGTGGGGGGCAGGTCCTCAAGGAGAAGGAACTTGAGATGGCTTTCTCTGGAAGAGGGAGCGCCTCAGAGAACACCAAGGCCTCAGAGGCCAGCAGGTACTAGACTGAGGACCTAGAGAAGGGGGAAACCTTGAAGGCTCAGGAAAGGGCATAGGGTTCTGTGCCAAGGAGTAAGGTGTCAGGAAGGCGGAGTTCAGTCAATGGTGAAAACTGGGGCTCTGAAAAAGGGGCGGGAGGTGGACTCTGGGAGAGAGGGAGGGCCTCCATGGGAAGAGGGCGGGGCTCATGGAAAGGGGCGGGACTTCAAGGAAGACGCAGGACTCAAGGGAAGCGGGCAGTTCCTGGGGTCTCGGACTGCCCCTGTGGTCTCTGTAGTGGGTCAGTTCTCAGATGGTCCCAGTCTAGCACCCACCCAACCCACCCTGTCCATCCCACCAGGCCCTCAGTCCGGCCCTCACCCCCTTCAGGTGGCTTGTTGCCTGGAAGTAGATGAGGTAGGCTTTCCTGGGCTCAAGCGGTGGGTTCCAGAAGCCACGATAGGTCTGGTTGTCACCCACAGTGAAGGGCATGGCCTCAGGAAGGCTGCTGGCCGCCAGTTCGGCACCAAAATAATGCACCAGGCCGCGGGCTAGAGCCGTGTCAAAGGTCAGTGGCACCGGGAAGCAGTCCTGGCCACCTGGCTCCCGCCGCAACCTCCGCTGCCGCTCCTCCTCCACAATCACCTGGTACACACTGGACAGACAGAAGGCACATCATCAGGGAGGCCAGAGGAAAGGGAGAGCCAGCTGGTGGCTAAGGACACGGCCTTTGGGTCAGGTAGACCTGGGCATTACTCGGGGCCCTGTTTCTTACGAGCTGGTCAGGGCCTCATCTTCCTGTAAAATGGTAGTGACCACAGGGCTGTCCTATGAGGTAGCCATGAGGATTAATTGAGGTCCCATACTAAGGAACACAGCAAATTAGCAAGCAGCGGGTGCATGTCAGTTCTTATAACTGTTACTAACTAGAGCTGAGGGAATCCTATGCAATGCACCAAGCCCTAAGGCCCCACCCCACCTCCTGGACAGTCCTCCTGTGCCTAACACACACTCACTTACACAAGCCTCAGTCTCCACCACTAGGTGACCAATAAGTGCCTTCTGGGTCTTGGTAAATCAGAGGTTAGATGAGATGCATTCATTCGTCCATTCAAGTATTTACTGAGTTCAGACAACGAATGGGCCAGGCACTGTGCTAGGCACTCAGAGACCGAGGCTTCCTGACACTGCAATGGCGGAGAGTCGCTAAGTAAGCAAACAAGGGCACGCCTAATATTCCATCGACCTTCCAGCTCTGAGGCAGCCTGTGGGCTGCAAATTTGAGCTCCATTGTCTCCCAAGGCCTGACTCCCCATTCTGCTGAGTGTTTCCTGGCCCTGACTTCTGGGCTTCTGTTTATTTCATCACTTTACTGAGTGGGCTTTCACTGTGAGCACCTCCTTTGTGGAACAAAGCCGAGAGCAACCACATAAATGCTGACAAATTTCAATATTTCCAGTCACAATCTGAGTCACGTCTTGCTGTGTGGCATCCTTACTGACAGCCTCTGTCCTGGGAGGCAGAGATGCCATTTCTGTGCCCTCCAACTGTTTCTTTTGAGCCTCAAAGTTGCAAAGCAATCACTCCAGTGTCCTGGGATTTGGGTCACACACCCATTCTCTGCCTCTAGCCCATTAGAAATAGCAACCCAGACCCCTCTCAGCCCCCCAGGCCGTGGTTACGCCTCCTCTGCTCCAAGTTCCACCAGGAGATGATAATAACCCACAGTAGCCAGGAACACAATGCATCTTAATCTGGGTAATAACATTTACTCTCCTTGTCACCCTGCAACATCAGCTGGATGGTTGCCATTATGCAGACAGAGAAACAGAAACTCAGAGATGCAAAGGGATAAGCCAAGCTCACACAACCACCATGTCCGCCCACCTAACCTCATCATTATTATTCCTGAGGGGCCATGACCAGTCCTCCTCACAGGACCCCTCAAGAGGAGAAAGAAAGGAGAAAGTGATGCTGGGTTCCCCACCTCCTCCCAGATTCTACTGTACACCGGTCCTGAGGCATCTACAAATTACTCCACAGATACTCTGACTTTTTCCTGGGTTTCCCCTAAGCCTGGGGATCACCCTGGGATAGAATTTGCAGTGGGAAGTAGCAGGGAGACAAGCAAGAGAAAGAAAGGGCGTGCGGGGTGAGGGTATAAAGCGTACCTGGGGAACAACCACTGCCTTCCTGGGGGGCTGACTGGAACCACAGGATTCCTATACACACATGCCACATAAAAGTGCTGGGCTCTGTACCTGCCCCCTCCCACGTCCCATGGTGGAAACTGTCATTCTTTTTCTAGTACATATACCTTTGTGGAGATATCCTAGTTGTTACGAGTCAGGCTACTAACCTCAAAGTAAGCAATTTGAAACTTGTTCCACAGGAGAAAGATGAGGCTTTCTGCTCCCGTAAAGAGTTACAGCCTTGGAAAGCCTGTACAGGGTTGCTATGAGTAGGAACTGACTCCACAGTACATAAAAACCACCACCCACCACATCTTTGCAGAAAGAAGAAGGAGTGAGGGGCAGGGAGGCTCTGAAATTCAAGAAAAAGGCCAGGCTCTACAGGAAGACTTCAGCTCTGTCACTGGTTGTGTGGCTTTGGGCAAGTTACTTAGACTCTCTGAGCCTTTTTCTGATCTACAAGGCTGCCAAGAGAATAATGTGACTTCATGCAGGCAAAATACCTAGAACAGTGATTGGCTACTTATTTGTGCATACACTTGTTCAATTTATGCATACACTTGTTCACACCTCTAAATAGTCTCTTATTCATAGATCATTACTCTCCTATGTACTCACACACACACATACACACACACACATCTCCACACCACACATCACACACACACAACACATGTATACAAGGGTAAGTAAAAAAGTGTGGCTACAAAACCATAGAACCCGTTAGTAAACAAAAATATCAAACTAGGAAGCTATTGTTTCATGACATATCCTCTATCTGTTGTTGTTGTTGTTAGATGCCATCAAGTTGGTATCGACTCATAGCAACCCTATGCACAACAGAACGAAACACTGCCCGGTCCTGGACCAACCTCACAATCGTTGCTACGCCTGAGCCCACTGCTGCCGATTCTGTGCCAATCCATCTTGTTGAGGGTCTTCTATGTTTCTCCAATCCTCCACTTTACCAAACATGATATCCTTCTCCAGGGACTGGTCCCTCCTGATAATACGTCCAAAGTATAACAGACCAAGTTTGCCCATCCTGGCTTCCAAGGAGCACTCTGGCTATCCGTCTTCCAACACAAGTTTATTTGTTCTTTTGGCAGTCCATGGTAATTTTAATATTCCCCTTCAACACTATAGCTCAAAGGCATCAATTCTTCTACAGTTCTCCTTACTCACTGTCCAGCTTTTGCATGCATATGAAGTTACTGAAAATACCATGGCTTGGGTCAAGCGCACCTTAGTCCTCAAACTGACATCTTTGCTCTTCAACACTTTAAAGAGATCGTGTACAGCATAATAGCCCAATATAATATGTCTTTTGATTTCTTGACTGCTACTTCCTTGAATATTGATAGTTGATCCGAGTAAAATGAAGTCTTTGTCAACTTCAATCTTTTCTCCATTGATATGGATGTTGTTTATTGGTCCAGTGGTGAGGATTTTTGTTTTCTTTACATTGAGATGCAATCCATACTAAGGCTGTGGTCTTTGATCCTTATCAGTATTTTAAATCCTCTTCACTTTCAGTAAGCAAGGTTGCATCATCTGCATATAGCCAGTTATTAATGAGTCTTCCTTCAATCCTGATGCTATGTTTTTCTTCATATAATCCAGCTTCTCAGATTATTTGCTCAGCATGCAGATTGATTAAGTATAGTGAAAGAACTCAACCTTGGCACAAACCTTTCCTAATTTTAAACCATTCGGTATTCCCTTGTTCTGTACAAACAACTGCCTCTTGGTCTATGTACAGGTTCCTCATGAGAACAATTAAGTGTTCCAGAATACTCATACTTCACAATGTGGTCCATAGCTTGTCATGATCCACACAATCGAAAGCAATCATAGTTAATAGAGCACAGGTAAACATCTTTCTGGTAGTCTCTGTTTTCTGCCAAGATCCATCTAACATCAGCAATGATAACCCTCATTCCAGGTCCTCTTCTGAAACCAGATTGAACCTCTGAAAATTTTCTGTCAATGTATGGTTGCAGCTGTTCCTAAATTACCTTTATTAAAACTTTACTCACATGGGATATCAATGATATTATCCAATGATTTCTGCATTCCATTGGGTCACCTCTCTTCAGAATGAGCACAAATACAGATCTCTTCCAGTCAGTTGGCCAGATAGTTGCCTTCCAAATTTCTCAGCAGAGATAAGTGAGTGCCTCCAGCAGTGCATCAGTTTGTTGAAGGATTTCAATTTTTATTCCATCAATTCCTAGGAAGAACCCAGTGGAGTGGCCAAGCTCTTGGCCCCTTCAGAGTTAGTCCTTTCTGGCCAGTTGCCTTAGCCTTCTAGAAAGCCCATCTCTGTGTCCTTCGAGGCAGGACCCTCCAGGGAAAAAAATCTAGGAATAAATCAGGCCCCCAGAGTTTGGCTTCTACAAGGTATCTGAAGGAAGACCCTCTAGACAAGCTTGGATAATCATTTCTGCAGATGACACTGGCCAACAATGTCATGACAGTCACCACCAGACACCTGTGGCCTCAGAGGAAAAGTGACCATGGGCTTCCTGCCTGTCCAGAATTAAGGACTAGCCTCCTTCAGACCTTCTGAATGGGGGACAAAGGGAGGACTGGGTGGGGGCCTTGGGTCAAAGGAGGGGCCTCTCTCTACAACTCTGAACTCCCACCTGATGGGTGCACCACGGCCCTGTGCCGGCCTCAGCAGCACAGTGATGGTGTTCTCAGACTCGCCCAGTGGTGATGGCATGTCGGCGTAATCAAAGCTGGGAGCTGGGGAAAGGAGCAGGGACATGAGCAGAGTCAGACCATGGGACCAAGAAGCCCAAGCCTCCAACCTCCCTGACACCTGTCCTCCAATTGCTTGCCCTTCAGCCTTAACCTTCTTAGTCCCTCTTGACCTGAGCCTCCATAACCCCAGGCATTGGCCCTTGACCTATGTCCACTGACTCCACTAACCATGGTCTCCTGGTGCATCTGACTTAATCCTTCCTAACCCATGACCTCAATCCATAAATGACACATTTGTCTCCGCAGAGGCCCTCTGTACCCACCCCAGGTCCCCTTCCCACCTCCTTCCCTGCCCACAGAACTCTGGGATCTTGGGCAACCTCCAGAGGGGACAGGCTAGGGCTGGGCGGGGCTCACCTGAGATGTTGGTGGTGATTTCGGTGAGTGCTGCCTGGCCAAAGCCTTTGCCTGTGCGGGCTCGCACAGAGAACAGGTATGTGGTACCTGGGTGCAGATTGGAGAAGACGTGGTAGGTCTCGTTGCGGAGCTTGGAGATGGTGCGCCGAGGGCCTGGCACGTTTACTGCCGGATCTGATGACTCAATGCTCTGGTAGCTGATCTGGGGGCAGGATGGGCAGGTAGGTAGGCAGGGGTGGCCCAAAGGTTCCCACCCATCAACTTTCAGGTGAGCGAGGGATAGGACTTGGATAAGGTGAAAGGATCAATGGGACTGTGGATTTCCATTAGCCCATACCCATGGGTACCTTCACCATTGTTTCCTTCCTCAGGGACCCCCTTCCCATAACTCACAGGGCAGAGACCCAGGCCGTAATTAAAGGAACCATGACAATTACCTCTGCTGCCCTTACATGGCCTCCCTCTCCAAGCTGTATAAAATAGGGAAAGAGGGTCTTCCTCCTACCTGCCACCAAGGGTCCCCACTGTAAGAGGGGCCCAAACCCACCTCATACTGAGTGATGAGACCATTGGGTTCCTGGGGCTCTTCCCACTTGAGGAAGATCATGTCCTCCAGAGGGGTGAAGGTCAAGGACTCAGCTGCAATCCCACCAGGCACTGCGAGGGAAAGGATGTGTGGGATGGGAGAAAGTAGATTTTGGAACTAGGTTTGCAGTTGTTGTTAAGTACCGTCGACTCAGTTCCGACCCATAGCAACCCTGTATAGTTTCCAAGGAGTAACTGGTGAGCTTGAACTTTGCAGATCAAACCAACTTTGCAGTCTAGCGCATTAACCCACAGTGCCACACCAGGACTCGAGGTACCTAAGTTCAAATTCCAATCTTGCCATTTCCTAGCTGCTATACTTGGACTTTTCATTCAACCTCTCTAAACCTCAGTTTCCTCATCTGTGAAATGGGGATGATAACAATGCCTCCCTAACCAGATTTAGGAGACCCTGGGTAGTGCAAACATTCATGTGTTTTGCTACTAAGTTAAAGATTGGAGGCTTAAATCCACCCTGAGGTTCCTTGGAAGACAAGCCTGGTGATGTACTTTCAAAACACCAGTCCTTGAAAATTCTATGGAGCACAGTTCCACTCTGACACGCATGTGGTTGCCATGAGTCAGGGTCCATTGGATGGTTACTATTTTTTTTTAATCTAATTTAATTTTAATCAGGTGATGTACATAAATCTCTAGGACAAGTAATAGCAATGTCATATGGTTCAGCCTATTACTGAGTATTCAAAAATGGTAGCTGGCATTTTCATTGCTGTGCAGGTCACATTCAGCAGAAAAGAACACCAGAATGCTCTTATTTTATTCCACTTGGGTAATTTTAAAAACATATAGACATTTCTCAGAGAAGTGAAAACAACAATTGCATTAGGGTGACAGGTTTATGGGTGATGTTTTCTCATCTACAATTTTTTAATTACATAAACATATGCTCAATATACAAAATATAAATGATCATAAAGAAAATGAATGGCGCCTACAATTCTACCACCTAGGGATAAATACTGTCAACATTTTGGCATAAATCCTTTCAGGCATATTTGTTGTTGCTATTTTGTTTGTTTTCATGTATCATCTTAAGAATGAGCAACATGAATTTCTTCCAGGAAGGGAATGGTCTTTCTTTGGAAAAATACCTTGACTGAAAACATGAGGAGAAGCTAAAATCCTACAGCAGTGGAAAGCAGAAACCAAGAGCGCAATCCATGCAGCTCAGGTGCTCTGTGTTAAAATGAACACTTACCAAGATAACACCACCCTCCATCCACCAAAACAGTACAATGATGAGAGAATTCCAAGTGTGGGCAATGATACAGAGCAGCTGGAATGCTCACATTCTGCTAGTGTGAGTGCAAACTGGTACAACCACTTTAGAAAATTGTTTGACTATGTCCACTCAAGATAAACCTATACCATATGATGGAGCTTCAAAAAGTTAGTAGAAAAATTCCACTATTTTTCAATTCCATTTTTCAATGAACTTTTTGAAGCCCCTTTGTATAACCTAGCCATTCTGCTCCAAGGCATATCAGAAATTATACCATATATACAGAGTCCTGATATGGTGCTGTGGATTAACGCCCTGGACTGCAAAGTCAATTTGAACCCTATACAGGGTCACTATGAGTCAGAACAGACTTGGCGGCACTTAACAAAAACAGCAACATATATATACATGCACACATCTAAAAGGATTTTTATTGTACCATTATTTAAAATAGCTGAAAATGAAAAGCAACCCAAATACCCAACAACAGTCAATAGAGTAAGGAAATAGTAATATAAATACTAGATAGCAATGAGAATGACTGCTGTATACTATAAAACTATAACAACTATAGAAGGACAGATGACAGCTGTGTACTATACAACACACCATGGCTGACTCTCTCAAGCATGAAGTAGAAAGAAGCCAGACACAACACAATCATACAATACATATTGCATTATATTGTATATTAATACTTCATAAAAGTAAAAGGTATCAAAGAATGATCAGGAGTTACGGTTTTGGCGACGGCAGAGATAGCCAGGTAGGAAAGGCTCCGTGGGGGAGGGACTGAAAACCCAGAGAAGCTGTGCTCACTGACAAAAACCAGAGCTCTGGATCTAGCATAAGGTGTAGGGTGCAAATGGAAAAATCATGATAAAAAGGAAAATACTGCGAGTTAGGAATCGATTGAGTCAGGACTCCCTCTGCAGCCACCCCACCCAGGCAGAGTTCAGACGGCGGGGCTACAGCCAGACCAGCACAGGGAACTAGTGCTAAAAGTGGTGCAGTAACATTTGCAAAAGGAGGTGCAGGCGTCACCCAGAAGGGGAAGTGGCCGAAGAACATCAATGAAGGAGCGAGCTAAGCCCTACATCATTTAGCAAACTACTGTGAACCCGGATGGAGACCTGGTCGGTCAGTAGCAAGGCAACATCTGGGGACTCATGGGCTCAGGGTCAGTGACACAGCCACAGACATCTAGAGTGGAGAGCAGGGCAGCCAGCCGATAAAAAGAGGCCGGACAGATGTAAGAACACCCACACTTGCAGATGATGCCCATTTGACTGGACTTCAATTGACTGGATAAACAGAGCTCAACCCTAAGAAGAAAGAAGAGGGGAAAAAGCGTCATCTGATACAATTCGATAAACATGACCTACAACTATAAATGCAGTAGCTCAAAAGAGGAAACAAGTCCCTGCTGCAAGAACTATACCCACCCCCACCACACAAAGGGTAGAGAGGGATGGGCAAATTGGACATTGGCTACCCAAAATGGGGGAGGGATACAAAGGTAAGAAGTGACTAGCTTACAAGCTTTCAAGAGGGAACCTAGATCCAGAGGGCGTGGAGGAAGGTAGAGTCTCCAGTGAGTGGTGTCCAGCCTGTCCAGGAAGGGCTGATGAAACGAAATATAGATGGGTCTCTTGTGATGCAATGGTGAATAATTGTTATCAGGACTGATTGTGAGGGTTGGAAAACTAAAGATGGACATTTTGTAACAAAGAGGGGAGTGATTAATTTATCAGTCTAGGAGCAGAGGACCCTGGGACCATCAATGGAGAAGAGCAAAGAGCAGAATCCTATCCAGAGAGGCAGTGAGGCCTGGGATAGAGGCAGAGAAGACAACGTCAAGAGATGGAGGGGCTGGGGGCTCAGGATCAGGAGATGGAAAGGGGCTGAGGACTGTGGTGGGGAGGGGTGCAGGTTTACAGGGAACACCCCTTTGTTGGGTGATGATGCATGGACAGGATGATAACTATGCCAACGAAATGATGGATGATGGAATGAATGTAAAGCTGATGTTCTCCCATGTAGACTATCACACAATTCACAATAAAACATTAAAAAAAAAAAAAAAAAGGAGGTACAGGGGGATTCTACACATTTTTTCCTCCTGTTCTCTGGCACCTTCTTTGCCCAGCCCAACTACTTCAGGTGGGTGGCTGTGCATCCCCCCCAAAAAAAATGTCCAGCGCTGAGCCCACAGTTTTCCCACAGTACAGAGAGAGCTTGGCGGCTGCTTATGACGTCAGCCTCGGGGTCTCAGCCTTAAAATTAACTTGTGCAGAACCCTTTACTCCAGCCTATCCAGCAAAAAAAAAAGCAGGCCCATCAGTGACGCCTGACAGACAAACCATACAAACAATCTGTAAGACATATCTCGAAAATTACCCTGTGCACATGCAGCTACCAAACTGACCTTCAGAGACAAAAATAGCAGACAATCTTTCTCCCATTAATTTCTCAATATCTATGTGCGCACCTCTACAGTGGTGACTAGAGGAGGGGCCTGAGCGAGTAGACACCCCCACCCACTGTGGGAGTCTTCTACAATGCACACACATTGCCTGTGTAACAAGGCAACTGGACAGTTGGCCACAGTATTATTTTTGTTTCAAAGTGGTGGTTTTTGTCTCTGCTTTTATATTGCTTCCACTTTTGGTCCTTTGGATAACACATTTTTCCTGGAAGTAGGAGCTTTTTCTCGCTACATTACCCAAGAAGAGACAGCAATCGTGGCCATATAGGGCTACAAGCAACCTCATAATATTCCACCATTGACACAAGAGCCAATAACAGCTGCTAAGCATTACAAGTTTAAAGAATAACAAGCTGCTAAGTATTACAAGTAAAAAGGAAAGCCTATCTCCAGTAGACACCCAGTAAGCTTAACAACACAACAAATATCCATTTAAGCATTAAAAAACCCACATAACTACTGGAAATGACAAACAAAACACAACAAAAGATCTCAAAACATGTCCAAAAACAGAAAAGAGTAACTGAGACAAATCAGCGGGAGACACACAAAGGCTCCCCAGAAGAGGAAGAGCAGGTTTTGGATTTGCCTGAGAAGGAATTTCAGAAGAACGATATGGAAACAAATTCAAATGCTCCAAAAAGGGGTGGAGGAAAATAAGGAAGAAGTCAGGAAAGTACTACAAGAGCAATCAAACAAGATTGATACAGCATTGGAAACAATTCAAAACCTGTAAAAGAGGTCCACATGATTAATAATAAAACATCAGAAACAGACAATACACTGAAAGGGGAAAGGAGCAGAATAGAAGAGATGGAAGCCAGAACTAGTGAGCTGGAAGATAAATCTCTCAATACTACTAAGATAGAAGAACAAACACAAAAAGGATAAAAAAGAAAGTCTAATGAGAGTCTAAAATTCATGCTGGATAACATGAAGAAGAACAATTTAAGAAGTATTGGCATTCCGGAACAAGAAGAATCAGAGAAGTCCATAAATGAGATAGTTGAAGAGCTTCTGGAAGAAAATTTCCCTAACATCTTGAAGGATAGACCCCAAAAGAAAGTCACCAAGACATATAATAATCAAGCTTTCCAAAATCAAAGACAGGGAAAGATTCCTAAAAGCAGCCAAGGAAAAGAGAAGTGTCACTTACAATGGAAAGCAGATCAGATTAAGCTCTGACTTCGCAGCAGAAACCATGCAGGCAAGAAGACAATGGGGAGACATATACAAAACCTTAAAATTAAAAAAACTGCCAACCAAGAATCATCTATCCAGCAAAACTGTCAATCAAATATGATGGTGTAATCAAAATATTGCAGGATAAACAGAATCTGA